TCTCATGGTGATTGGTTGACGCATTACAACTTGATAGGCTACCAGCAACTTGTATGTAATTGTAAACCGTATATGTATTCATTGTTTCAATTCTAACATGGCTTTGTTCATCACTCATCAAATTTCATTTTACTATTTAATAAGATGTCAAAATAGATTATGATGTAAGAAATTTAACAGAAGGAATTTGGCCATATCTTTGAAAGGCATGTGATACTTTTTAAAAATCTGAAGATGTTAAAAGTTTCTTTTAAAAAAAAATTACGTGAAATTTATTTTGGTTTTATCAAATCTCAAAACACTAACTGCGGCTTTTCAGCTTGATATTGGTATTAGAGACAAATCCATTTATATTATGCTGATTTTTTAAACCGGTGAGGTAAAGCCATGTGATGCTTTGTAGAAACAGCAGCTGTTTTCTAATATTCAGTACCGCAGTAAACTGTCAGATAATTAAGTCTGGTTATATTTTATTTTCAGTGTTTTATACTAAATTTTAATTGTTTCTTATAGCAGAAGAAATTCCTTTGAACTGATCAACATAGAATTCAAGTACCGTTTGTAAATGTGCGTATTTTTGCATTTCAGCATGTTCATATTTGTTGGCAAAAATCCTCCACAGTACAAAGAGCTGCCATTAGCACAAGTAACACTCCTGTCATGTCTTTAAATGTGCTTAAATAAATCATACCATGTACAATTCCCTGAAGTTCTGTGCTGTGATTCAGCTGGATGTTAACAAAGGACAAGTTTAGAAGGTGATGTCTGGAAAATAGATAACTGGTATCTGGATGGTGGAGTAGCCCAGCTATTTTAAAACCGCGAAGATCCGTGGTTAAGATTATCTTCAGCAGCTCATGCTTGTCATAAGCAGAGGCTTACTTAATGGGGATCGCGTGGTTAGGCTTTGCCGAATTTGGTTGGACATACGTCATTGTATCCCATTTGGCGTGAGATCGATGCTCATGCTGTTGATAACTGGATTGTCTAGTCCAGATCATTGATTATACCTGACTAAATGTGATAAGTTTTTCTTGGATTTCAACTCATTTTACCAAGATTAGAGATGCAAATTATAAATAGAACATTATAATGAATATCATCATTTAAACTCTTTAAACTGTAAAAATCCCAAATACTGACAGACCTGTTAAAACCCAAGCCTTATACTATAGGAATTATAAATTCGATCAACCATTAAATCTTTGAATGCTCCTTTAGTTTTCAAAATTAATGAGTTACCGTATACTCTTCTCACACGATCCTTGGTCTTAACAGATGAATACTGCTTTCATATAGGACTATTCCGATTCTTATCATTGTGAATGTGACCCAACTGTTATCTTCTATTATATTTTTGTCAGACATTAGTTGTGATTGATCATCAGCATGTAGGGGTAATAGTGGTCTGCAGTTTGCAGAACTGCTTTCCTTCTGACTGCCAGAATCTGCAAATCATTGTTTGAATCCAGACTGTTGATTATGATCCTTCGATTGTCAGCATTGTACCCATATTTATGGGTTAAACTAATTCCTAACAAATTCCACACCCACTACCTCACTAGGCGACTAATGGAATCAGGTGGTCAGATTCAAGTAGGTTACCTACAGATCATGTAGCTGGAAATGTCTGAGTGTGGTGTTAAACAACAAACAAATCACTCATCAGCATAGAAGATTTATTAACAAGTGACCAGATAAATGAAAAACAAGGGTCACAACTGAATATGTTGATTTTTGTTGAACTGAACTAATCAACGATGATATTACTTAACAGGTTAATCATTACAGAATTGTAGCACCGTACTTAACAGATGGTGGACTCTCAGTATGGAGTAAAAAACTAGGCCCCACACCTCAAAGAGATCTTAGCCCTATGATTGTTCTGAGTCAGTATTAGGTATGGGAGTTAAGATTGTCTTTAAGCTAAGGTTGCTTTGTGAAACGGGGCCATTTAACATTTGAAATTGCAAAGACAATCTAGCAACTGTTTAATCATAGTGTCCATAACACTATTAAACAAATCTATGGTTTGGCATGTACAACATGCATTATCCTTCTAAAATGTTGACGATTAGACATAGTTTATTCACTTCATGCTTTTCTAATATTTCACATAAGGTATCAATAGTGATACTACAACAAGGAACATCAGTGTATCACAGTCTACCATTCAGAGAAATGAAACAACAATTTGATAATTTGGATGTACATAGAAAACATCAAACCGACTTAAAAATGGGTACCAGAAATGAAACCATTATACAAATCATGAACAGAAAATAATTACAGTAATCACCCTCAAGATCTGAAATGAAATAAATAGAAATACAGTGACACTAATCAGGTAATATTGCAGGTAATATCACAGACAACAGCTTGAATGATATAATAACATAGTACTATGTACTAACATAATGTACTACTCGAAACGGGTGAAACATCATCTACATTTGGAAGGCTCTGTGTACCAATAGTCCCAACAGATTATATTAAAAAATTGTTGTTTGTTAACTTATTTTGGGTAGTGTACATCAAGATTTCATCCCGTGGACACTTGTTTTCTGAACATGATGAAAAGAGGTTGAACATTATTGATGTTGAGGAAGATGCTGAGGTATTGTTCCTGTGTGTAGTCTTATTGAGTGTCTTCCTCCCTTTGCTTCCTGTGTCTGTTTTCTCTT